AATAGGAAAACGTATGCAAATGTGGAAGATGTTAAAGAGGACATCGACATGTTTTTTGTGCTTCAAAGCCAAGTGATTTCTTTCATCAGGACATTAATAACCTGATTTTAAGATGGAAAAGCATCATGGATAAGAATGTAGAGTATTTCATTTAGTAAATCTTTTGTTTTGATACATAAGTTGTTCGGGTTTTTTTCATCTAAAAAAAAGCGACATTAATTTCTTGACGACCTAATATTTTACCTTCACTTTTATGTTCAAATGTCGTATATAAATATACATGTGGTAGTTGTAAAGCCACTTACATAGTCAAGACTTATCGCCATTTACAAGTACATGGCTTGTAACACATGAGAGGTTCTAACAGAACTGGAACTATACTTCGAACTCCACCTAACTCTCCTATATCTTCTCAGAACGATACGTCATAGCACCCCATTTCATTATAAAACCTTTCAATTCTAACTGCTGAATATAATGATCACGAACTGTTGATAAAAGATTATCTACGTATTACAAACGAAAATCCAAGCCTCAATAGAAATTCAAACTACTTCCCCCTACTTTATTCAAATAACTCTCTCTCCTTTTTTAAATTGAATGTTTTATAATTTCGTAACAATATTCATTGTACTTTTATATTAGTAATTATACTAAAGATTGTTTCATTTGTTATTTTCATAAATTTCCTATAGATGGAATATGTGTAATTCCGAAACGTTCATTAAAGATGTTTATAATTGCCGTTTACCAGCACTAATAGAAACCTACATGAAATTCACCAGCATCTTATATGGAATTGACACGCTAATAGGGTACCTTACATGGAGTTGAACAGCTATTAATGTAGTATACATAGAATTCTTCAGCTAACGGCACATGACATGGAATTCATCAGTCCAGGGTATGCTACATGAAATTTACCAGTTGTTATGTCATCATACACATGAAATTAACCAGCTATGTGGGCTCCTTACATTAAATTCGTATGTTGTCAGGTTACCTTAAATGGAATGTGTTAAATTTTAGGTCACTTTACATGTAATTCAACAGTTATTAGGGTAACTTTTATGGCATTCACCAGCTATTACGTCACCAAACGTGAAATTCACTAGATATTAAATAATCTTACATTGAATTCACCAGCTATTAGCGTACCTTATACACAACTTACCAGATATTAAGGTACCTTACTTGGAATTTGCCATCTATGAGAACACCTTACATGGATTTCACCAGCAATTATGACTCCTTTTATCCAACTCACTAGCCGTTATGTCACGTTATATTGAATTCACCATCTATCTATTAGATCTATTTACATTGTATTCAACAGCTATTTGGTTCTTTACATGAAATTCACTGTATATTAGTTAAACATACATGCAATTCTCCAACTAGTAGGGGTGCTTTACCTAGAATACAACAGCTACTTAAACATCTTACATGGAAGCAACCAGCTATTAGGACACTTTATGTGTGAATCACCACATATCAGGGTAACTTACATGACATTCACCAGCTATTACGTCACCTAACGTGGAATTCACGGATTATTAGGCCAATTTACTTGAAATTCATCGGAAATTTAAGCACCTCACAAAAATTCACCAGCTGTTAGGATACCTTACATGAAATTCACTGTATATTATATTTACTTACATGGAACTCACCAGTTATCATTACACTTTACATGAAATTTACCAGCTACTAGGGTTCCTTATATGAAATTCACCACTATTAAGGTATCATAAAGTGAATTCGCTAGCTATTACGGTGTCTTAGATGGTATTCACTAGTATTATGGAACCTTAAACGGGATTCAACGGCTATGTGGGATCCTTATGTCTATTCCATTATCTATTATATAACTGTAGAAGGATTTAACAAGTTATGAAGGTACTTTATACAGATTTCATTAGCTATTAGGATACCTTACATGGAATTCATCATCTAAGAAGGAATGCTACATAGATTTCGTCAGCTATGAGGGAACCTAACATAGAACTCACCAGCGATTAGGGTGCATTACATAATTCACTAGCTATGAAGGTGTCTCACTTAGAATCCACCAAGTATTAGGGCGACTTACATGAAAGTCACCAGCTTTTAGGGAACGTTACATAAAACTCAGAGGTTACTAGGGTACCCTATATTAAATTCATCAGTTATTACATCACCTTACATGTAATTGACCAGCAAAGAAGGAACCTTACACTAAATTAATCAGCTATTAGGAACCTTACATGTAATTGACCAGCAAAGAAGGAACCTTACACTAAATTAATCAGCTATTAGGAACCTTACATGAGATAAATCAGGTATTAAGTCATCTTAAATGGAATTCATCAGCTATGAGAGCACCTTACATGGAATTCATCATCTATTACATAACCCTATGTGAAATAAATCATCTATTAGGTCAGCTTATATGGTATTCACCAGATATTAGGGCTCATTATATGAAATTCACTTTCTGCTAGGTCACCTTACATGGAATTCCTCACCTTTTAGGTCACTTTTTATGGAATTCACCAGCTATTAAGACACCTTATATGGAATTTGTCATTTCTTAGGGCATGTTACATAGAAATCTTCATCTATTAGGTCACCTTACATGTGATTCACCAGTTTTGAGGATACCTTACATAAAATACAACAGCTATTAAAGCATCTTACGTGGAGTTCACAAGTTATTAAGGCGCCTTACATCGAATACACCGATTATTAAGTCACTTTATAAGGAATTAAACAGCTATTAAAGTACCTGACATGGAGTTCACAAGTTATTAAGGCGCCTTACATCGAATACACCGATTATTAAGTCACTTTATAAGGAATTAAACAGCTATTA